TGTGGTGCTGGAGATCGCAAGTCTACATGGTTTCATAGAAGCACTTTACAAACTAAGCTATCTCCCCATCCCCCACTTAATTCTCTTAATGTTGTTTTCTGATAAGCAGAAGTTAATTTTAATCAAATGAAATATATGAATATGTTTTTATTAGTATGCTAGTCTAGATTCCCCAGAGACTAGAACCTGGCTCAGGGACTCCAAGGCACAGGTATGAAGGACAAAAGGAATCAGCAAAAGAGTGAGGATCAACATGACAATGCTTTTTTGACATGGACACAAGTCAAACTACTTGCTCAATTCGAGGGTTATGTCCTCACTAAAGAAATTCTATCTTTTTTCTATTTATATGTATTTGCATATATAGATATGTAGATATAAACTTGGATTGGAGACATTGCTCAGTGGTTATTGTTGTGCCCGAGTCACAAGGATCCCCAAAGAGACCAGGGAGACAGACCACCGATACAAATGCACAAAGTTTATTAAATTGTTTATCCTACGGCAGGAGCGACCCTGTCTATCAAGCTGATGCAGCAGCCTCCAGAGGGGGTGAAGTTCCCTGGCTACTGCTAGGTTTTAAGAACAAAAGTTACAGGATTACATCAGTAGGTATGGATTGGTTTCTGATTGGTTGACATTTGGGAACAATCAGGAGAATTTTTCAGTCATATTTTGGCATGAAATACCTGTGTACCAGGTATTCTCATTGCAGTGCTGAGAGGGAACATTCTGTGGTTTCTATGGCTTGTCTTGTTACCTGCAGGTGGCCTGCTGTTCATAGATACCAATAGTTTTTAGAACTATATCCTGGAGACTATAGAGGAGGTTTTGGTCTCCCCTGGAGTTTCTTTTGTGGCCAAACAGTTCCCAGGAACCAAGTACCTAGGAGGCTGTGTGTGTGTGTGTGTGTGGGGGGGTGCCTGGAGTTTCTTTGTGTTCAGTTTTGGCCCTAGGCTCCAGGAGGCCAGAGGATCTGGAGTTTCCTTGTGTCAGAGGCCTATGTGTCTTTTCTGTAGCCTGTAATGGCTGCCAAAGCAGGGGCAGAGTGAGGGTCTGGTCCCTTCATTCCTAGAAGTGAAGCCTTTTATTTTAGTTTACCCCTTTCAGTTATGAGCACTTACTGCTCTTCCAGAGTGTAAGTGTTGCAGCTCAGATGGAAAGGTATCCTGGCAGATGGGAGCTAAGGAATCCTACAGTCACTGTAAGTCTTACAGCTCTGCCCTGGTGGAAGCTTTACAGCTCTGGTCAGGTCCCGCCAGAGTAACAACTCTGCTCCCATAGGGAAATGTTTCTCCAGGGAAAGTGTTAATATTCTACTTCAGTCCATTAAAAAAGTCATAGCTGGGCTCTGCTCAGGTGAGAGTGTCACACTGCACAACAAACCTCACTTAAGAGGGTGGCTGCCTCTGCTAGGGTGAGAAGCAGCAGTAACCTGAACAGGGCACAGAGCTTATATAGGGTTTCACAGTGGCTTGAGGTTGGTTTCTGTGGCCTGATTCTGGGACAAACTCAGGGTTTGGTAGGATTTCAAGTCTTTGGCCCTTCTCTGAAGTCAAGTCAGGGTCAGGATCAAGGTATTTTTCCTCTGGCCTTTTAGCCTTCATTTTCTCCTTGGTTCCCTGAGTCCAGTTTCCAGTACCCATGCTGTCAGGCAACTCACAACTGACTGTAACTCCACCTCCAGAAGATCTGACACCATCTTCTTGTCCCCCCAGGCACCACTGAAGACAGGCAATCAACTGTCAGGGACTGTGGCAGCCACTGCAGGTTTCAGCCTTTGGTCCAGGTCCCTCACTCCCCAAGCCCAGCAAGGTAGAAAGGAGGCCCCAATTAGTCTTGTCTCACCATGGTTGCCATGGCAAATGATTCAGGGTCCTCATAGGAGCATCACCCGAGGTCCACACTGGGGAAGTCCCAAGGTGGCACTCTCAGGTTCCTCTGAGACCAAAGAGTTGTATTTTCCAGGAAAATGATCTTAAGAACCTCGGAGGTGGTGGCAGCACCTCCTTCAACAAATTCTATCTTAAGACGATCCTGGGTGCATAAGGTAGGGGAGGAAATTCACCCTCACACTTCCCAGTCGGACATACACATTTATACTTTTTTTTCAAGAAAGTTTTTTCTGTGTAGCCCTGATATCCTGGAACTGGCTCTGTAAAACAGGCTGACTTAGAACTCACAGAGCTCCTCCTTCCTCTGCCTCTTGAGAGGCAGGATTAAAGGCATGCACCATCTCTGCCAGGTGGCAACTAAGTTTTTAATACTGAGCCTTTTGGGGGTCACTTCTTATCTAAACTGTCATACAGGAGTGTGCCTAGTCTCCATTCTCTAAAGACTGTTTTATCTTCCTACTCACTTGGCACATTGCTCTCAATAAAGACATAGCCCGGGGCCGAAGTTTGGCAGCTGCCCTGTTCATCTTTCGTGTAGAGGCAAGAGTGCCCTTGGCTGTAAGATGAAAATCTGGCTCAAGTCTTCCTATTCCTAGGAGGCATTTACATCTCCATTTGCTCACAGGGAGGCACACGCTGACAGCAACCCTTATTTATTGATTCATTCCAGAGCTGGGGTGGGCCACAGCTTCAGCATTTTCACTGTGAGGGGAAGAGAAGTTTCAGAATGTACCCTTCTGTTCTGCCTCTGTGTTAGTTTGGCATTTTGTTGCTCTCATAGTACCTGAGGTAAACAACTCAAGAGAGTGAAGTATTTAGGCCTATGGTGTCAGTGTCCCTGGCTTCACTGATTGTAGCAGGCTTTCTTTTGGGTCAGCGACCAGTTCCCAAATCATGTCATGGAGACTTAATATTAGTTATGAATGCTTGGTCTTATCTTATGCTTGTCCCACTAGCTCTTATAACTTAACCTATTTCTCTTCATCTGCATTTTGCCTCAGGGCTTTTTAAATTTTTTTCATTCTGTATGTCCTGCTTCATGTCTGTCTATCTGGTGGCTGCCTGGCTGGCTGGCCCCAGATGTCTCTCTCTCTCTCTTGCCCTCATTCTCTTCTCTTTCCTGTTCTCTCCTTGAGCCTAGATTCCTTCTTCTTATTCTCTCTGCTCTCCAGCCCCTCCTAGCCCTCTACTGCCTAGCTATTGACCATTCAACTTTTTATGAGACCAATCAGGTGCAATTAAGCAGGCAAAGCAATGTATTTCCACATCATTAAACAAATGCAGTATAAAAAATGTAATACATCTTTACCTAGTTAAAGTAATTTTCCACAGTTGATTCTGTGCCAATAGTGATATGGAACATAGTAGCCTTGGAAACACAAGGCTGAGGCTGCTCACCTCATGGCAGACAGGAAGCAGAGAGAGGAAGAACACTGGAGGCCAGGTGTGATATTCAAAATCCAGTGTTCAACATTATACAATGGAAACGTCAATGGCCTAGTTCCCCTAACATTTCCACCACTTCTCAGAATAGCATCACCACCTGGGACTAAGCCTTCACCACATAAGCCTATGGGACATTTCATATTGAAATTGTAACATTCCCTACTCACGGAAGGTTCATAGAGTTTTTATAATACAAGCAGTATTTAGTCCCATTCCCAAAGTCTCTCAAATATTAACAGTTCCAACATTGTTCAAGGAGCTGGAGAGACTGTTCAGTAGGTAAGAGCCCTGGCTGCTCTTTCAGAGGACCCATGTTTGATTCCCAGCACCCACACGGCTGTTCACAGTGATCTGTAACTCAGTTCCAAGGGATCTGATGCTCTCTTCTAGCCTCCATGGGCACCAGGTACATACTTAGTGCACATGCAGGCAAAACACTCAACATTGTTCATTGTTCAAAAGTCCATATTTAAAGTCAATTCTTAGCTGTGAGCTAAGAATAAAATGGAATAGAGTAAACCTTCTCATTCCAGAAGGGAGGACTAGCAAGGAAAGACTGGATCAAACCCACAGGTCCTGTAGCTTTGTGTCCAGTGACAAGGCTCATGAGTATGAGTTCCTGTGGGCTTGGGCAGCCCTGCTTGAATGGCATTGACATTTGTATCCCATGTGGCATGTTTCTTGGGCTGGCTCCATTTATTGTTGCTGCCCACTTTCCTTCTCAAAATATCCACGTTCCTAGCATCTCTGATATCCTGGGGCAACCAATGAAGCTGAGACTTTACTCTCATAGCTTTGAGCATTGATTTCACAGGGGCTGCCTGAGAGAACTTAGACCTTTCAGATATTGCTTGGCTTCTCATATTTCCTCTAAAACTTTAGTGAAAAATCTCTACCACTATGTAAATTCTTTTGCCTGCAAATCAGCCATGTGTGGATGGTTCCAAGATCTGTTGTTTACTCAAGCATAAGCCAAGTCCCCTTGAACCATGACCACATTATCTCTGAGCATTTGAGCATGGTGAAATATGTTCTAGGAAAACAACTTCTTAGGTATCTCTGTGTGAGCAAGGTGCCCTGGAGGTACTTTTTCCCAAGGGAAAGTCTTTCATATGACTTTTCTATTTCTCTCTCTTGAGTTGGTAACGGGTGAAGTCTGGACAATTATTTAGATTCCTTGGACATGTTTCCTTATCTTCTGATGCAAAATACTTTGTTTCTTTTTTAAAAAATTATTCATTTTTATGTGTATGGTTATTTTGCCTGAATGTATGTATGTGCACCATGTGTGTGCCTAATGTCCATGGAGACCAGAAAAGGGACTGTAGTTATAGGCAGTTATGAGCTACCCTAGTCTGGTCCACAACAGTCTTCATTTCCACATGGAACTTAATGAACACAGTCTTTCTGTTTACATTTACACTAGCATTCTGGTCTTCTGAACTCCCACAAAACCACCCACTGAGTAAAACAGTCTAGGGTTTATCTAGTCTGGCTTTCCACACCCTTCCAAATTCCTCCAGAAAATCAGTTCTGATGGTTTAAGGACCAAATGATCAGGTTAACCAATCCCGCCATTGACTCCCTTGCTCTGGTAACAGATTTCCGTATTGGCCAGCCTTTTCTAGCCATGACTAATAAGTTTTCTGTTACGAGATAATGGGTTTCTCTGCCAACACAGTAAGCCAGATCAAGCTGAATTGGAAAAGCAAGAAGAACAGGTTTTATTTGAGCAAAGCAACTGTTGTGTGAGCCCTTCAGTCCCAGAGATTGAGTTCAGAGATGTCATGCTCAAACTTAAGCAGAGAGCTTAAATACCCTGTAGGCTAGTGGTGATGATGTGTTTGTCACAAGCTTGGTCAAAAGCTGAAATGCTTCGGTGAGGACTTGGGCTACTGGCAACTTTAGGGGAAGAGCTACCATAGCTGCCAAGAATGAGGAACTGGGCTTTTTGATACCTTCCCTTTGTTTAGAGAGTCTCTGAGAGGGTGCATTCTGGACAGATAGAGAGACAGGAATGGCGCTTTCCAGATCAAGCAGGAAAGTTCCTGTTGTGAGCTGGAGGTTCCAACTGAACAATGACAAATACCTGAGAGTAGAAAACTTAAGCAAGGAATTATTCATTTTGGCTCAGTTTTACAAACTTTAGTCTATCATGGCAGAGCAATGTGGCAGAGCAAAGAGATTGATATCATGGTGGCCAGGAAGCAGGAGACTGGAATACAGGAAGGGGCCAGGACAAGTGATAGTCTTCAAGGAAATGCTGTAGGGGTAGTTCATATTCGATGTGGGATGTCTTTCTGAATGCTGTGATATGTTTTATTACAATTGGTTAATAAAGAAGTTGGTTAGGTCAACAGCTAGGCAGAATAGAGCCAGGCAAGAAATCCAAGCAGAGATATAGGGAGAAGGGGGCAGTCAGGAAGATGCCAGCAGTTGCCGAGAAAGCAAGACATATAGAAAAGAGGTAATGCCACGTGGTGATACTCAAATTAATAGAAATGGGTTCATTTAAATATAAGAGCTAGCCACTAATAAGCCTGAGCCATCGGCTAAGCAATTATAATTAATATTAAGCCTCTGAGTGGTTATTTGGGAACTGGCGGGCAGGAGAGAAACATCCCATTATACAAATTCATACCATAACAGAATGCTATGACAAAGTACTCTAGACTGAGTGGATTAAGTAGTAGACATTTAGCAGGGAACAGCATCTCACCTGTAATTCTACCATTTAGGATACTAAGCAGGAGGGCGAGCCTTTGATGAGCTTGGGCTATACAGTAAGGTCCAGGCCTGCCTAGGCTACCGAGTAACAGTGTCTCAAAAACAAAAACAGAGACTTGTGTGGTTGCACATGCCTTTATAGGTAGGAAGATCAGGAGTCCAAGGGCATCTTCAGCTACATAGTAGGTTTGAAGCCAAGCAAAGCTACATGAGATGCTGTCTCAAAATAACAACAATGGGGAGCTGGAGAGATGGCTCAGAAATTAAGAGCACTGGCTACTCTTCCAGAGGACCCAGGTTCAATTCCCAGCACCAACATGGCAGATAAAAACTGTAACTCCAGTTCCAGGGGATCTGATAACCTCATACAGGCAAACCAATGTAGATGAAATAGAAATAAATCATTTAAAAAATAATAATGGACAGTTATTTCTCATAGTTCTAGATTCTGAGAAGTCTGACATCAAGGTGTCAGCAACTCAACTCCATAGAAATTTGTAGATGGGTATCTTCTCTCTGTGACCTCACATGGCAGAGAAAAAAAGCTTGAGAGCTCTGCCTCACCACCTCCTCTAACCGTAATTACCATCTCAAAATCATCACATTAGGGATGGGAGTTTCAACAGATGAACTGGAGGGTGGGGTGGGGCACACAGTTCAGCCCACAGCATGTGAAGGCTTTTAACCATTTTCATCAAAAGTCCAGTAAGAATGTATTGAACTGATGACAAACAACAGTAAGAGAGGTTTTTTAATTAGATTCTTTCTATTGCCTATGGCCTTTCGGCAAAGGCCTCAAAGGCAGAAAGCAACCCAGGAGATGCCAGTGTGCTCCATTCTTTTATCTCAAAGGGACATAGTGAGAAATTGTGGATTGGTCTGTCAGCATTCCTAATCCAGTCTGTATAAAACAGTGAGGATTGTGTAGGATTATTACCTGTGGACTCTGTATTCCTCTCCCACCACTCTGCTAAGGGACGGGACAGGGTTTTTCCCCTTTGCCTAAAGCCAAGTCAGAGGTTTAAGGGGATGTGTAAGGAAGGCAAGCCACAGTGTGGTATAGCGAAATAGTTGCAAGGCTGTTACCATCAGTGCAGGGACCTGAACTTTAATGGAAGAGCATCCAGAAGGTGAAGAATGGGGGGGGGGAGTCACAGGCAATCGACCAGGGAAGGACCATTTTTTTTTTTAAAGATAGCATTTAATTATATATTCCTGACTGGCCTGGAACTCCAAATGCAGGCCAGACTGGCCTCAAACTCAGAGACCTGCCTGCCTCTACCTCTGTAGTGCTTGGATTAAAGGTAAGTAAGCATTGCCTTTTAAAAAAGCCCACCAAGGTGACAGCCGAGAAAAGAGCCATCATTTGTAAGCTGGCCATATGCATTTTGGAGAAATGATTTTGGAAGCGAACACCATCTTGCACCACCTTTAAATGGAGAAGGACACAGAAGATAAAAAAGGGGGGGGGGGAGTCACAGGCAATCGACCAGGGAAGGACCATTTTTTTTTTTAAAGATAGCATTTAATTATATATTCCTGACTGGCCTGGAACTCCAAATGCAGGCCAGACTGGCCTCAAACTCAGAGACCTGCCTGCCTCTACCTCTGTAGTGCTTGGATTAAAGGTAAGTAAGCATTGCCTTTTAAAAAAGCCCACCAAGGTGACAGCCGAGAAAAGAGCCATCATTTGTAAGCTGGCCATATGCATTTTGGAGAAATGATTTTGGAAGCGAACACCATCTTGCACCACCTTATTCTTTTGATTTCTTTCTGTACCAAATCTTGCTGTCAGAAGTGGTTGTCAGTCAGAGAGGAGAGAAGTGAACTCCTGGGAGAAAAGGCATATCTGTGGAGAAGCCCAGCCCACTCTCTGAACCTACCAGGCTTTAAAATTGGAGCTGAGAGCTGTCACCTGAAAGGAAGTTTAAACGTTTGTTTGGTTTAGTTTAGAGTTTTTGAGACTGGAACTTTGAAAGGCCACGAGGACAATCTTGCATGTCTGGTCTTCCTGCTGCTGTTTCCCAAGTGTGTGTCTCCTGCCTGCTGAAGGCTTTGTGACCCTGCTGTAGTAACACTACTCATGATACTGAAGAGTGTCTGAAAAGTGAAGGATTCTGCAAACACTTTCATCCAGGACACAGAAACAGTTCTGCATAGGGCAGGCATGTAGGGCAAGGAGGAGAGTTTCTCTGATTCTATATCTAGAGACTTCTTGCACCTTTGATGAAAAGTACTTTATTGCTGGAGAAAGAGGAGACAATGTTAATACTAGTATAGCAAACCCAGATTTAGAATGTAGTAATTCTGATTGTAAATAATAATAGTCCATATGTATGCTCCCAGCACCTGGGAAGTAGACTAGGAGGATCAAGAATTCAAGACCATTCTCTGATACTTAGCAAGTTTCAGACAGGCCTCAAGTAACTGAGACCCTAGTGTAAGCATTGCGGTGGATCCGAGCAGATGGGGATTCTGGCACTCGGGAGCCAAGGAATACCACAGGTCACAGTAAGCATAGCAGCTTACAGCCCTGCTCCAGGGACAGGCTTCCCCAGTGTAACAGTTCTGCTCAAGAAAGGGAGGGCTTCCCCAGAGAAGTTGTTACAGTTCAGCTTCCAGAGTGTGGTATAACAACTTGGCTAGGGGAAAGTTTCCTCTGTGAAAGCATTACAGCCCTACTCTGCTCTCTCTGCTGGCTCAGCTCTGCTCTGCTCTGGCTCCAGTGAAAAGCTGTTACTTCTCTTCTCCCCTCCATTCCAGCGAAGAAAGGTCTCACCCAAACCTCATTCAAGAGATTTATTGGGAGGGAAGAATCCAGGAGAGTGGCTGCCTCTGCCAGGGTGGCAGAGGACCGCTGGGCATCCAGACAGATACAAGCTGATACGAGTTTATATAGGGTTTGTTAGGTGGCAGAGTTTTTCCAGGGACATTTCCAGAGTGGGGATTGGTCAGATTTCAATCTGTGAGCTCAGAATGGCTAGATCTCCTGCCCAGGGATTGGTTGGTTTCTGCACAGGTTTAGGGTCAGATTTGGCTCTGGTTTCAGGGCCAAAGTGTGTTTTTTTAGCCTTTTGTCTCTAATTTTAGGGCCAGGGTGTATTTCTTTTACTGGCTCTGATTCCAGGGTTCTTCTTTGGCACTTGTTTCAGGGTCAGGGTACATTTCTTTAGTTCTGGTTGCAGGGCCAAAGTGTGTTTCTTTGGCTCTGCTCAGGGTGTGTTTCTTTGCTGGCCCCTTTTCCCTACACCTAGTACACACAATAAGCATTGACTTCAAGTAACTATATACTATGATTTACCTTTTCTTACCATTATTTAAATTCCATGGAAGTGTAGATAACTAAATATAGAGATAGTATGAAGGTGGGGCACATACCTCTGGCAGGTTAACTTTTTCATTAAAATAAATTTTATATTTAAAAATTATATCAGTTATACAGGATAAAATAAGCCGAGTGTAAGGGAATCCAGTCGGTGAAATTTTTATTCTGGATACAGGTGGAAGGCAGAGGTAGACAGATCTCTATGAGTTTAAGGTCAGCCTGGTCTATATAACAAATTCCAGACCAGCCAAGGCTGCATAGTGAGACCCTATCTCAAAACAAAAAAACAAACCAAATCTTATACTGAAATATGAAGCATATGTCTTTATAAATATGTAAATTGGTTATATTTTACCCATAATATAAAAACATAAATTAGCAAGTAGAAAATATTTTATAATTTACATTTTCTTTGTTTTGCTTTTGCTTTGAAGTCAGAAATCTGATTTTATACAAATTTATACAAATTTCAGATGTTTTGTTTTGCTGATGAAAACTATGAAGCTATTGTTTAGAGTCAACTTATTTCCTTATTTTTATTTTTTATGTATATGAATGTTTTGCCCAAATGAATGTCTGTGCACCACCTGTGTGCCTAGTGTCCAGAGAGGGTGTAGAACCCTGAGCAGGAGTCCCACATGGTTGTGAGCCACCACATGGGCGCTGGGAAAAGAACTCCTGAGCCATCTATCTAGAACCCTTGTTTTGTCCTCTTTTTCTATTTTGAAGATTTATTTATATTGTTTGTGTATTAGTGTTTGCCTCCATCATGTCTGTGCACCACTCCCATGACAGGTGTCTGTAGAGTCCAGAAGAGGGTGTTGGATCCCCTGGAACTGGAAGTTATGAATGGTTGTAAGCTTTTTGCTATCTTTTTTTTTCTTTTTCCGACTTTTGTATTTAGGATGCAAATCCCTGAGACTGACATGTGGGGAAATTATACTTCTAGTCTGGGGAGGTAATTCTGAATGTCTCAAAAATTTGCCGGGTTTCTTCCTGACTGCCAAGGTATGGGTTGCTCTAACAGTGGGTATTAGTATTCAGGCATCCCCACTGGCCTGCCTTTGGAGTTCTGACAGGACACCTCAGCTGCTGCTACTAAGAGCACAACCTGTGCCTATTCACAGTGCTCCCTTTTAAAAGGGTCCTGCCCACCTCTCACTTCTCTCTCTCTCCTCTCTTTTCTCTCTCTCTCTCTCTCTCTCTCTCTCTCTCTCTCTCTCTCTCTCTCTCTTTTTCTCTCTCTCCTCTCTCTCTCCCCCTCTCTCCTCTCTCTCTCTCTCCTCTATCTCCCCCTCTTTCTCTCCTCCCTCCCTTTTCCTCTCTCTCTTTCTTCCCCCTCCCTCTCTCTGTCCTCTCCTCCCTCTCCCCTAGCACCCAGAGGCCGGTCTCCCCAGTCCCTCTCCCTTTCCCCGATCCTTTTCCTCTAATAAAAAACTCCTCGCTTGAACTCTGTTGCACGGTGTCTTTCTCTCTGGAGCCGCCTTTTAGAAATGACAGCAGTGAGCGTCATCACCGTCTTACCCCAGGGCTTGGTCAAACCTTGTGGAGATTTGACTGACACCTGTCCCTCTTTGACTTCCACCTCCCCGCGCTTTCTCGCGCTCAATCTAAACCCCTATGAGTTAAGGGGCTGCAAAGTCATCTGACCGTGTCAAGCTTCCTCTGTAGCGGGAGGACTTCGGCGGGTGCTCCTGTCGAGGCTCGCAGCCTCCGGGAGGGCTCGCGTCCGTTCTCACTGTGGTGAACCCGGAGGGTGGGAGCGGGCAGGAGAAGCACAGACAGACACGCTGCAGCAGCAGCAGCAGCAGCAGCCCTGACTTCTGTGCTTATGTCTTTGTCTTTCTCACCTTGTCTACCCAGAGCTAGGTGTTTATGCTGCTGGAGTATAGACAGGGGACAGGGACTTGCCATGCAAGCAATGACCCTCTCACTGAGCACTCAGCAGAGGCGTTTGCCTGCTGCTTAGCTGCTTTTGTCTTTTGATGTTGGAAGCCTATGATATATGTATGTCCAGTTTATTAGAACACAACTCTGTAGTGGTAGCCTAACATGACATATGTGTTTGAAAGTCTTTTAAATTTATTTTTATTAATTAAATAAATTCAATTAATTGGCCTGAATCTTTTGTACCCTATATCTGATAACATTTTCTTCATTTTCTCAAAGATAAAACTAGTCTTATTGAAGACAATATGTAAAAGATTTAAGAGCACATTAAAGAAAGCCCTATTCAACACAGGATAACCATTAAGTCCTAATTTTATATAGATTCATATTTACATAACATATATTAATATTGTCAACTCTGTTTTAAGCAAAAATTAAATTATATCCTGATAACTGTTTGTGAAGCTTTTTTACTTAACATTTGATTTTCTATAAGTGAATGAGGCAGATTACAAAAAATAAACATCAGAAAATTATTAAATTAATTATTTTATTTATGCTTATGGAAACAATAGATATTTATCTCCTCCCCCCCTGTGTCCTTTGTGTCTAAGGTAAGGGTTGGCAGACATTTAATTTAAAGGGCCAGTCAGTAAGTGTTTCTAGCTTTGTGCACTGGACAGTTTTTGCAGCTTTTCAATATAAATGATACCAGCTCCAGTGTGCTCTAATAAAATGTTATTTACACAAATGCATAGTAGGTAGGATTGGTTTTAGGGCCATAGTTTTCTGACCTTTCTGATAAAGATGTAGTAAGGTTTTTTTTTTTTTTCAGAACTTCCTATTTATACACCAGGTTGGCGGCAGTCGGGTAATGCCACCCTTCGCCTGGGTCGCCCCCCTCTATCCCAAGCCCCGGGGCCTCCACGCTGATGTCCAAATGTCCAAGTCCACCCCCCTCCCTGACAGCCCTGGGCGCCTGCCTCGTTTACACAATACGGTCCGGGAAGAGGCTTTGGCTCTCGCTATGTGGAAAAGTTAATCGAAGCGAGGGGAATTTCATCCATACTTATGGACGCCTTGAGGGTTCCCTGGGGTTTGGTGAGATTCATTCCCCTTAAGGCCTGCGTTTAGAAAAGCATGCGGATGCCTGGAGCTTGAACCAAAGCATGCTAGCTGTCATGGTGTCTCAATGGGAGCTGTTGCTCCCAATCGAGGTGTGCATAATCAGTTGTTGTGATTGCGGCCCACCAGGTAGTGATGTGACAGCAGCCATCAGCGTTCTTTTAGTGCTCACAGTCCCTTGAGGTAAAGCAGCGTTACCCCTTATTGCACAGTTGAGGAATCAGCTCAGAAAGGTTTAAGTAACTTGACCAAGGTGACGAAGCTACAAGTGATGGGGCTGTGGTTCAGCTCACATGTTTGGTTCTCACAGCCCGCGGTTTTAAATGTTAAAATGTGCTGCTAGAGGAACAGAGCGTGAGGTGAAGTGGTGGTGGTGGTGGGCATAGGTCAGAAGTGGAGGGCTTGCAAAAGTATGAAACCCGACTTGGATCCTCGGCATCCCGTTAAAAAAGAAAGTGCAGATGTGGCATGCTGACAATTCTAGCAGAGTCTGCACATGGCCTGGTGTTTTGGAGTTTTTTTGTTTTGTTTTTTGTTTTTTGTTTTCAGTGTTTCTTGAATAGCACTATATATAACCTGTTTCCTAGGACTCTGGTCATAGATAAACTGATTGGTCACTACAGAGGAATCAAGAATAGAACACTGTGCTACCGCCTCCCTCCTCTTCTGGATGCTGTATTTGCTGCAGTTCTCTGTCCTGTAGGGAATTATCTCCTTTTTCTTGTCATCTAACCTGTTAGGTGTACCTTCAGGGTAAATCCCCAGGATATCCTATCACCATCCAGCACTCTGATGACGCTGCTACCTCTTCCTTGGATTGTTACATTTGCCTTTACAAAATTTAGCCTTCCCACTCAGCATTTTTTTCTGTGTTCAGTAATCAAACTGATATTAAAAATATTTTTAATTAATTGTATTCATGTGTACCTGCGTGTGGATTTGTACATAGGAGTGCAGATGCTGGTGGAGACTTTGGATCCCTTGGAATTAGTAGTTAGCTGCCTGATGTGGGTGTTGAGAACCAAACTCTGGTCCTTTGCAAGAACAATATGTACTCTTAACTGGAGACCCCAAACTGATTTTAAGCCTTTCCTTTATACATCTTGTAAGCATATATTGAACATCTGTGGTCTTGGCAGTGGTATGAGGTGTGTTAAATATTAAATTAATCAGTGAGTTACAACTTTGGATAGGATTTCAAGGGAAAGAACTTCCTGAGAAGTGAGCTTTGAGTTAAGACCTCAGAGTAGTCCAAGCACCTGGAGGAAGTTGGGTCACATGACTTTGATACGTAAAACCCTCCCATGGCTCTTAACACACTAAGAGTCAAATTCAGATTTCCTAATTAGTTTTGTTTCTCTTCTGTCTGTCACATTGGTGCAGCTATACTGTTAACCAGAGCATAGCAGTTCACTCCTGAGATGTTGCTTCCCTTGACCTGAAACATGTTTTCTTTGAAAGACCTGTAAGCTTCCCATTCACTTAAGTTAAATGACAACATCTCAGAACGATGTCTTTAGCCACCCTATCTGGAATGATTCCTCCTTTTCCTTAGTCTTTTGCAGTTCATTTTTTTTAATGATTGTGCCACTTATTGCTACCTTGAGAAGTACTTAAAATTGGTCTTGACTTTCCTCTTTTAGCTAGATATGTGTAGGGACAGAGGGCAGGCATTTGGTTGACTTGGCTACTCCCATCTTCCACAAGAATAAGAAGTCTTATTTTAGGAGCAGTGGAGAATATAAGCTTTAATCTCTAAGGCTAGTTCTGAAATTCTTTTTTTATTGTGGAGTGGTTTCTTACCTTGAGAGACAACAGTTAATGAATAGGGGGCATAGAGGTATCTTCATGTTGACTGTCATGTGGTTATTCTTTCTTTCTTTCTTTCTTTTTTTTAACTTTGTAGAGACATTCTCCTGGTCTGTGTTCTGATTCTTCTTTGGAGCAGAGTTTAAGAATCACTGTTGGCAATGACCACTTCTGTGTTAACACACCAGAACGGCGTCGACTTAGTGACCGGTTGGGATCACCAGTTGATAATCTGGAGGATATGGACAGGTAGGCTTCAACTGTGGCAGGGGTGCAGCATACTAGCTTTGGAAGGCAGAAATACTGCTGTTTTCTGAGTGATGTGTTCGACGTATGGTGCCAGCACAAGGTTATCTTCTGTGTCTATGTCTAGTAGAAGATAGAACACTGGGAAAGGCTGAGTAGGAAGAGTGTGTTGATATGGACCTCTGATTCTGAATGAAATGTGTGCCAGGAAAAGAACATGGGACATCTAGAAAGAGAAGGCTGAGGGGGGGATAATATAGATAATATCTGTATTATCTAGAATAATATAGATATTGGATTAAAATAAAACCCAAGAAGAGTCCTTTATACAATGAAGGTTTTAAACAAAATTCGAAGCTTTGTTTGCTTGCTTTTGTTTGCTTTCTTTCTTTTTTTCCAAGACAGGGTTTCTCTGGTAGGCTTCTCTGTCTTGAAACTCACTTTGTAGAGGAGGCTGGCCTCAAACTCAGAGATCTGCCTGCCCCTGTCTCTTTAGTGCTGGAATTAAAGTCGTGGACCACCAGGCTTGACATTTGTTTTCTTTTTTCTTTCTTTCTTTTTTTTTTTTTTTTTT